AAGTAAAAACCATAAAATCGATAATATTATGCATAAAATTTTATGCGATTTTCTGCCCGATTCCGTCAAATTATTGTAAATATTAATTAATGTACTTTTTATTGACATTATATTGTATTGGAAATATAGATAACTTATTGTTATAATTGACATTTTAGTAGTAAACGATATTTGAAATAAACTATGATTTAAAAACTTAATCTCTATAAAGTCATGTATTGTTAAATATAAATAAGCAAATATTATAAATATAAATAACAATTTTGTTAATATTAATACCATTTGTTGAATCATGTGAATAGATTTATGAAATGTCACATTAAAACCCATAATAAATAATATGATTGAAATTGAATATAAAAAATTGTTATTATTTGATTTATTCATTTTATTCATTATCAATAATTTTGCTTTATTTATCATTATTTAATTGTAATTAACAATACAAGTATATTAATTATTTGAAAAAATCAGCAATTTAATATTACTTTCAATTAACTTATTTTAATTTTATTTAAAAATTTGTTTCATACAGTATAGATATTATTACATTATTACTATGGTATTTCAGATATACATAGTATTTGCAACTTAGTTACTAAATTGTAAACAAAATTAATAATTAAAAATACAGTAATTAACATATAGATAGTTAATAATTATTTTTCAACTCATTTATTGATTGCTTATTATAATTGCTTTAGTTTGAAAAAATAATTATTGTTTTCTACCATAATATTCATGTGATTATATTTACAAAATATAAGCTATAATAAAATTTATTTATAAAATATCAATAATATATTATTATATAATATAATGGAAACTAAATAATAAAATATTCAATAAATATTTTTCTATACAGAATATTGTTTAGTAAAGAGTAATATGTAATATATTATATAAATTATTTATTATATTTATACTAAATTTATATTTTCACACATTTAAGGTAACAATATGTATAATTTATTAAACTTGTAATATTAAAATTTCAATGGTATTATAACTATAAATTATTTTATAACATTATTCAAATACTGTATTTAATAATTCATAATAATATATGTTAATATATTTGTACATTAATATTGTTTAATATGTGAGTTAATGTGTGAAACTATATTTTAAATAGATGTTTATAAATTTTTACTTATTTATTGTATAATTTATTAATTTTTAACTTATTGTAAGATTGACAATTTTATTGAAAATAATAAATAATTATATTAATAATAAATACACAAATAAAATATTTTCTAATACTACAGTAGATCTTAATAACAAAAAACATTTATTTTGTTAATTTGATTTAACTATTTGTATTAACATAACTGTAAACGTAATAACAAAACCAATGAATGTAAACAAAAATTTTAAATTAATATTAAACACATTGTATGCATGATATCTGACATAAGTATAGTTATAAAAAATATTTTGCCAAATAATTGTCTGAATCATTGTATCTCTTGTGGCAATCAGTGAATACCTTTTGGTCATCAATGATATTAATGAATTTAGTGTCGGTCTCTGTGTTTCAAAATAACTGACAAACAATAGACACATAATATCGACAAAACAAATACATAAATATTCATAAAGATTATAGGATTCAATGTATATATAATGGGATGACTGATGACTGACCAAAATAGCAGATAGTCTTAAACAGCTTGAAATAAATAGTTCAGAAAACCATAATAATGTGAAAAAACCTAATATTTTATTTACAGATTCTTTGTATTTATTAATTGCAAATAGTTTTGTACCCAAATCATGATAATTGAAATCATTGTTATAGTTGATATATAATTGGTTTTCAAGCATATATATAATATATGTTAAATTAATATATAGTAATGGTATAAATATAATCCAACCAAACACGCATAGAGACCATAAAATATCGCTTAAAATGTTTAATATATTATACTTATGTACATCTGATGCCACTATTATTGTAAATATAGTATCAGTCAATATCATACACAACCATACGGTTCCCATTATTATTGATTGATAATTAAACTGTTGTCTTAATTTATTGTCTAAATTTGCTGTAAGTGTTTGAAACAATTTTCTAATTGCGGACACTTTTAAGTCAAAATATGAAACACTTGTTAAAAATATCATACATTTAAATACTGATGATAAGCGAAATAATGATTGATCTACACAACCATTAGATATAATTAGTTTTGTATTTGTAATTATTGTATAAATAGTTATAATTATAAATAGTAATCTGTGACATATTCGTAAAATTTTATAACTTAGATTAATATTATAATTATCATAACAAATATTGCCAAATAATTTCAAAATATTACTAAAAGAAAATAAACTATTCATAGATTTTAATAAATAATTTCTTATTATATGCATTTTTATATACATAAAAATATATTAAAATTTATATTTAGAAAATCAGAAAAACTTGACTTTCATAAAGTATATTAAAACTATTTATAAATGTATTATAAAAATATTATTTTATAGATTTATTAAAATAAGTAAAAGACTTGTAGTACAGTATATAGTATATACTGTACTAAATAACACATTAAAAATATAATAAAACACTAATAGAAAATACACAACACAAAATAAATTTATATAAATAATACACAATAATATTTTTTAATATAAAATAATATAATGTATTTTTTAATGCTTTAATGCTTTTATTATTTAATATTTAATAACTATTTTTTAATAAAAATATTTTTCGAAATCAATTGACAATTTAATTGGAAAAAATTGTAAATTTTGACATTAGAAACTAAAATACAGTATAATTATGTTAGTTTAACAATTTTAATTTATATATAAATTATAATAATTAAATTGTTTATCTATTTTTTCAGCAATTGAAATAACATAACAGTAAATGTGACAACAAAATTGAGAAAAGTTAACAAAAAATTCAAATCAATAGTAAATACATTATAAGCCATGTATTGACTCTTAAAATAACTGGAGTTAAGTGTCTTAAGCATCAAAATTTTATACAACATATCCCGCGATTGTATTGATTGATGTCTTTGATTATAACATTGTGTCAACTGATTAACTGATGGCCTGTGTGTCTGATAATAATGAATAGTCAATAGATATATTAGATTAATCATACAAAGGCACAGGTATTCAACTAAACCATGAGTAAAGGCCTGGTAGTTACTGTACAGACTCTTGTTAGTAGTCATATGAGTCAGTCTAAGACATGTTGAGATAAAACTTTCGCAAAACCAAAGTAACGGAAATATACCCAACACTTGATTGATGTGTTGCTTATGCTGTTGAATGACCAACACTTTGATCTCTAGTTTTTCATAATTAAATTCATTTGATTGGAAATCCCGGAGCAATCGTTTCTCCATTAGGTATACACCATATGACAAATGGATTAATAGTAACGGTATAGCAGTCATCCAACCAAATGTATTGAATGCCCACAGAATCAAATGTAGAGCCGTATAGACGGGTCGATCGTAAGCCAGAAAGTAGGCTACAGTTGATACCAAATTTATGACTAAAAACAATATCCATATTATTGTCAATATATTGGAACAGACAGTCATTTTTGTCAATTCTTTGTCCACCAAATTATGTATAATATCGACTATAATAGACTGTATTTGTTTGAATCGGACTTCAAAGTAGACATAACTACCCGAAATGATAATCAGTTTAATCATCACTGATATCCTGAAGAGATGGTGTCTCAAACCACGGGTCTGATATAAATCGTTGATTGAATACATAATACTTAACATTAAACCAATTATTAGCAAACATTTGAAAAAATATTTTAGCGATTTTCTAAAATTGCCGATAATTTTTCCGCTTATATTAAGATCAAAACCCAAACATAACATTATAATACAAAACGGATTCAAACTATGTTTTGATGATAGCTTTTGTTGTCTATTATTATCATTGATTTGTTTGCTATCATTAGTTAAATTTTCAATTGATTCAAATATCTTTAATGATAACATATTTTTAATTATTAATAGTTTATTTTTTGAAAATAATATTACACTACATTAGTTTACTTCAATTTGTTTAATAAAATGAACTAATTTTAAATACAATAATAACCTAATGTTGTTATCAATTTAACTTTTAATTATTTATTTTTTTTAATTATTAATGCTAATTTAATTATTTGTTCACATTTTCGATTAATTTATTTATTTAGTTATTTTATTATTTAATTTTGATTTTTTCTTAGTATTGAACAAAATTCATTGGAAAAGTTAGAAATTTAAAAAAAGAAATAGCAATATATAAAACATTTGCAGTTAAATAAATATATATTAATTAATAATAATAATAATTAATATATTTTATATAAAAAAATTTGTACTGTAAAATCATATGTCTAAACATTATTTGTGTATAAAAATAAATTAAACAAAAATTTTTAAACTCTCGACTTTTAAAACTGGTTTTACACGTCATCTCATTCATAGCAATGTATAATAAATTCAATTATAATTGGAAATATGAAAATCAAAACAAGTGTATTAATATCAATGAAAAAAATTGTTATTCACTTAAAAACATTGCGCGAACTTAACATTATAAAAGTATTATTATTATATCATATTATAATAAGATTTAGACTAATAATAATAATTTAATATTTAGGTAAGTCTAACATAATATATTATAAAATATTTATTATAATTTGTTTTTAAATTAAWAWAAATATATATATATATATATTTGTTGGTCAGTCTAAGAGTCTAGATATAAATTACATATTGTATCTGTTTTTTATCAATTAAGCTTAATTTTTTCTCAAAATAAAACCATATTGAGTATTTTTATTAACTAAATATAAATAAATATTATAATAACCACACCTATCAATTKATAATACTTTATAAAAAAACACATTTGAAAATCCTYATAACACAATTAATTACAGTATMATATTGTCTAGAATTTGCATAATTTWWAAAAAAATTAAYCATACGATTAATATTTACATYTAATAATTTGAGAAAAAAACTTTATTCAAGCATTTTCTCATTAATTGCATAATCAGGAGATTTATAATCAGTATATACCGTACATGACGTGATTTTTACAATCATATAGTGAAAGTTGTATAAAAAAATTAAAGTTATTTTGAATGCCAAAACAGGTGACCATAAGTGACCCGCAAGTGTTGATCGACGAGATAAACAGGTTTATGGCTACACTCAAGAAACTACTATTATATTCCGTATATATTTGCATACAAGTGGCCGGTTTGGCCGCTTTAGGTCTGTGCTGCAAATGGGTTGTCCACCATCTGGGCGGCTATTCACTGGCCACACCCGAACAGATATTCAACTATCATCCGGCACTAATGATACTGTCGATGATAGTAATCAATGGTAACGGTATACTTGTCTATCGTATACAACGATGTGTAGGTTATCGGCAACAAAAGTGGCTACACTTTGGCATACAATTTGTGGCCACAGTGTTGGCACTGGTGGGTGCCTATGCTGTCTATCACTTTCACGCCGTCAAACACATACCACATCTATATTCTCTGCATTCATGGCTCGGACTATCCGTATTGGTCACAATGATACTCATGTCTTTGGCTGGATTTGTCACATTTCTATGGCCGGGACTCGGCTCAAGTACACAGCGACTAATCATACCATTACACGCCTTCTACGGTCTCTTTAACTTTCTTATGGCCGCAATGGTTGTCCTGACTGGACTCACTGAGAAAGCATTGTTCAGTATGACCAGTCCTGGCCAACAATATCGGGACAGTCCACCGGCTGCGCAGTTGGTTAACTTGATTGGTATAGCCGTAGTTATCTGTACGGCACTTGTACTCGGATTGGCTATCAATGATGACTTACGGAGACGTGTTAGCGGTAGTGGAGACAAACAAACTAAGAAACATTGATTTATTTAATGATAATTATAGTCATTATATCATATATTTATTGAACAAAAATACTAATAAAATTGAATTGTCTCTAAAAAAAGTATTGCAATCAATAATCTAAATCAAAATCACAGTTTGCTATCATCCATGAGTTGGCTGTACTTATTGAGTGGACCGACATATTTCTCGCCGAGCAATGAGCCAATCAGTTCCATGCGGTCACTGCCAAACACCAGTTCGGGGCCATCGGCTAAATGGACAACAATTGTCGGCACACCGTATCCGCCAATAGAGACCAACTCGTCGGTAGTTTTGCGAAGAGCGTCCTTTACTTCTTGTTTTTCCATCAAAACCAGCGCTTTCTCTACTGTTTTCTCGTTGAGACCACCTTTTTGTGAGGCCTCCCGCAAACTGTCGGCCAGTGTTACGTCCTGATGACTTTTGAACACCCGTTTGGACAGTTGTCGTGATAGGTCTTCAGTGGATTTGCCATCTGTTATCATATCGACAGCAGTGATAAAACGCATGGCTTTCAGTGATGTCTTAACTGAGGCCACTTCGATGAAGTTGTCGGGTATGCGAATCGGTATCTTATAATACTTTCCCAGTCTATGGACGTCATTGAACAGGTATTTAGCTTTGCTTGGGTTCTCCAGTACTGTAGGATTGCCGGCACCTTTGAAAACGGCCGGCAAAAAAACGGGTTTAAGTTTAAGTGACATCGATGGCCATTGCGGTCGGTATCGGCACAGAAGTTCAAAGGCTATCCACGAATAGGGAGACACGACATCGTAATACAGGTGTGTCAGCACTCGGTTATTGTTGATTATGGCTGACATCGCTATTAAATTAATTCAAGTTTTTTTTCAAATCAAAACTTTTTTTTTATTATTGATTATTATTATTAAACGATAAAATTTATAGTTATGTAATAACTTTTGGACATTAACTTTTGGTTTATGATATGATTTTTATGATTATATTTTTTGTGTTAAACTTTGAACAGTAATAGAAAAACAAATTACTGTATMATTRATTTATGATAAATATATTKTGAAAAACATTGTTGTTTTTATGTACATTCAGTACAGTGTATACTAGAGAGCGAAAAGTTTCGTATACTATACAGTGTATACTATACACTGACTATAGTGTTTTTATCAGAAAACAATTTTATTCATACTATACCCGCAACAAATTTGTTAAAATTAACAATGGATTAACGATAACTGATCGTACACAAACTGTAAACAACATTTGAAGGACAACTGGTATTAAACATTATAATGTATTTATACAGTAATTATAACAATATATTGAAGCAATCAAGACATACAGTTAAAGTTATAGCAATACATAAGTAATACTGTAATTACATACTGTATGTTAATTAATGTCTAGTTTTTAAAAGTTTTTTTTAATTAAATAATTAATTTACAAATAACTGGTTATTGTCATATTAATAGTTTTAAAACTTATTATATGTAAAATAAAATTATCAATATTACTTGAAGTTTTAAAAATAAAATATTATATGATATTTAGTCATTAAATATATTGTTTTATTAAATTTATACTATGATTTTGATAAAACATTTTTGTGTTATTATTATTTTAACATTTTTGTAACCTTACTATCGGTTCCATTATTAGGTAATGGAGTTATACCGAGTATATGACAAAACAGATTGTAGTGATCAACCATTTCTAACGGTTCCGATAGATAATTATTTTTCAATGCCGGTCCAAATGCATACATTATACCTCGCATATCCTTAATATGTCTATCATAACCATGATTGCCACCCGATGGTGGATCAGGTGCTATATGTGTTTCGCCACCTGGGTATACCTTTCCCGGTGAGCTTGGCTATAGAGGAAATGTAGTTCAAACATTAGTATAGTTTTTTTAATACTTTATCGTTATCTTACAACTGCTATTTCATATCCCATTTCTACGGTTAACAGTATTGGTAATACATTTTTATTGTGTTTATAATGAAACTCATCGGGAATGTCATCTCGTTTGTAGACTTTAATGCCTTCAAGTTTGTTGAGTTCATTAACAATCTATTAATATTATTACAAACAAACAAAATATTATGTAAACAATTAATTTAATATATGGACAACATTTACCGTATCCTCTTTGCCAGGTTTGGCAGTAAGTTGTCCTCCCGACCAMCCGCCTAAAAATATCTCAACATCATTGAAGTCAATGTATTGCTGTAAATGAATTTTTTTGAATCCATCTTCCTGTGCCATCCCGTGATCCGATACTATCACAACATTTACCTCATTATCTAACTTTCTAGACTTTAACTCATCGTAGAGCTCCTGTAGTATTTTGTCGATACCAATCACAGCATCGGTTACATTGCTAGTATCGGGACCCCATGAATGACCTGAAATATTAATTTTTTAAATAAAAGCATTTATTGATTATTAAAGCACATACCTATATGATCAACATATTCATGGTATAAGAGCGCCAGTCTGTGCTTATTATTAGCAAAGTTATCCAAAATAGTCTTGAGATGAGCTCGTGTCTCATTGTTAGCCGTTTCCATGTCTTCACTAACGGCATGATATCCAAGACAATAGTTAGGTTTTATACCGTCAATAGGCACTTGACATCCGTCCCATAGATACATAGCAGTTGATACGTGATTTTTTTCAGCCGTTGTCCAGATTGGCTCCGATTGGTTCCACCAGTGCTCGTGTGAAGCATTGACATTAGGAGTCATTAAAAATATGTCGTGACGTTCAGCGTCATAGATATAGTTTTGTAGGAAACCATGGTTTTCCGCGTACCGTCCCGTGACTATTGAGGCCCAGTTTGGATATGAATTGGCCGGATATATGGGCGTTACATACGGGGCTTTAACACCGTTTCGGGCAATTGTTGAGAAGCCCTTAGACGCTCGGGTGGCGTAATCCCAACGAAAGCCATCGACTAATATAATCAATAATTTTTGTGAATTTTCATTACTTTCATTATTATTAGTTTCAATATTTTCATAATTTAAATGCAATGATAACGCAGTATATGTTGAAAACACACACAAACATAGAAGTTTTAAAAACATTTTATTGTTTGATATTTTAAATATTATTATCAATTATAAATATTTTCAAATAATACTGATTATTATAGTTTTGTTGTTTTAAATAAATCAAAACAACCTTTTTATTTAGTTTTATATATGACTAGTTTATTAAATGTAACTTTTTTGTATGATACTAATCTGTGGTAACATATCTATCTTATTATAATTAATTTAAATTATTTATCTTATTTAAACTTACCTCCGCAATGAATTTATGTACTTAAAGTAATTTATTTTTTGATAATACAATATAATTAATATTTTTATTGATAATAAGCTTTTTAATCTTTTTTATAAGTATTAATATAATTTAGAAATTTGTTTAATTTCTCATAACTACTATTACAAATCTTTAATATATATATAATTTCTATTATTATTCTACCTATATATTGTATTTTTAAATCTATAATAATTAAATAATTTTTTTCTAATATCATAGTTTACTCCTAATCATTTGTATAAAAATTACAATTTAATATTTATGTAATGTTTTTCTTATGATTATTACAATTAAAAAAGTTTTGCTACTTATAAAAATTTATAATCATATATATTAGATGTMGTTTAATAGGTTTTACAATTAAAGTTTTGTATAATATATTACAAATAAACTAAAAAATGCGTTTTAGATAAATTTATAAATTATAATCCAATTTATTATTTTATAGTTTTTATTAAAATATTAATTTTAATGTTTATAATTAGTAATCAGGAAATAATACATTTTATTTAATAATTTTTATAAATTTTGTAATAAATATTTTTATTAGAAATAAAATTATAAAATAAAATCTTCAACACATCTCTTAAAAGATCTTTTAATTCATATTAATGACATAAACTCTTGTCTAGTTTTAGGATTATCTCTAAACTGCCCGATCATACAACTGGTTATAGTTTTGCTATTGATTTTCTGTACCCCACGACTGCTCATACACATGTGGCTGTAGTCAGTGATCATAATAATTATATATTAGACATTAATTATCAATTATCTTATATAAATATAACACTTACTTGGCCTCAACCACAACACCAACTCCGGACGGATTAATGGCTTCGACCAGTGCTTCGGCTATTTGTTTAGTTAGTCTTTCCTGAACTATAAAAATATCATTTTATTATTAAATATTAATTATTTGAAAACATGTAAATCTAAGCATACCTTGCAGTCTTCTCGCATACATTTCCACAATTCTGGCCAATTTGCTTAATCCCAGTACCTTATTGTTGGGCAGATAACCTATAGATACCTTTCCATAGATGGGTACCAAATGGTGTTCGCAAAATGAAAACATTTCAATATCTTTAACGATAACCATTTCATCCGTGTYCTCATCAAAGACCGCTTCATTCAAAATATCATTCAGTTTAAGCTGATATCCACTCGTGAAATACAACAGTGCTTTTGCCGCCCTCTCCGGTGTCTTAAGTAAGCCCTCTCTTTCGGGATTTTCTCCAATAGTTTCCAATAGATCTCTATATAACTGAGACAATCGAGTCAATTGTGCTTCTTTATCGTCCAGTCCATTTGCACCGTTAGCTCTGTTTACTACCTGACCATTGCTAACAGAATTGGTATGAAAAACATTTACTTGTTGGCCATTACTGAAGCCATTATTATTAAAATCGTTTTGTACGCCATTTTCATTGCCAATGATTTTACTTTTCATTTTTAAAAAAATTAAATTATTTAATTAAATTTTACTAATTTACTGTATTATACAGTATGTATAATAGCTGTATGACTATTTTACTACTGCTTATAAAATAATTAAAATCAATCTAACCTATTTTGCGACTATTATATATATATATATATATTCAATAAATCTATAAACTTTTACGTATTTGCTTAAGTTATTGCATAAATCATATGACATTAGCAATTTTTTTAACAATAAATACATAAAAAAAGTATTACTAAATTTAATAATTTGCTTTATCATACATTATTCAACAATTATTTATTAGTACCGGTAGTTAGATTTACCAAAAAATATTTTTTAAATATATTTTTTTGTGTACATTAATTTTTCAACATTTTATAAAAAATATTTATTAGATTTTTATCACAAATATGTATCTAATTTGACACAAATTTTAAGTTTATTAAATTATAAAGTTTTAACCAAATTTGTTGCCAAAAAAATGRAAATAAACAAAACTACATGTAACAGTATATACTTGACTGTCCACTTGAGTATTTTATTTAATATTTTAAAAAATAACAGGATAAGACATCTAAATAAATTTTTGTTTATTATTTATTTAAATATGCTTAAGATTATATGTTAAAATGCTTTTTAATTTTATAAAATGTTATTTGACATATAATTGTTAAATATGTATTATTTAAATATTTCAATAATATTTATTTTAATTAACTTATAGCTTATAAAAATATCTAGCTATGAACCAACTAATAGCTATAAAGAAATTATAAAACAAAATATACAAAAATTAATAAAATATTGTTATATTGCATTTATAAAATTTACCGTAATATTAATATATACATATAAAATTATTTTATAGTCAATATATTATACAGTAACTGTATAGTACATTATATACAATGAAATAGGTAAAATAATCAAAAACAAAAATCACAGTGTAATAACAATTAATTTAAAGTCATGATTGTTATTGTAATTATAATTATTTTATTAGAAAAAAATAATTTTATATTATGAAATCAATGCTAATAAAAATATTAAGAAAACTATGACTGAATCATATGAATCATATGAATATTGACTGTATTTATATTTCCAATTTAAATGTCTAATTAAATATAATCTTAATTTCAATTTTAAATGCATAACAACTAATGTATAGATTAACTAAAGCACTATTAGTGGTCAGTTTGCTGTTCATTGACCGACAACTAGATAACGATATACTCGCTCAGAGAAACACTTTTAAACAAAATTATGATTATATAGTGGTCGGCGCCGGTAGTGCCGGCTCTGTAGTGGCCTCGAGACTAACAGAAAATCCTGAGATCAGTGTATTATTAATTGAGGCCGGTGGTGCCGCACCTGTAGTATCAGATATGCCAGCTATGACTCCAAAATTGTGGGGTTCGGACATCGATTGGCAAATACCTATTACCCCACAGAAACACTCGCACCGGGCATTTAGTGGTCAATCAGCTAAATTAAGTCAGGGAAAAGTGATGGGTGGCTCCGGTACTATCAATGCCATGGCTTACGTACGCGGATTCGTCAAGGATTACGACGATTGGGAACTGGAGTACGGGGTAAAAGGTATGTGCGATATATACAGCTATGAATAGTTGTGGGTTTATGTAAAAAATCTTATGAAACAACATATACTGTAAATTTATGTAAAATATATTTTAGATTTTTATTTTCTGTATATATAGTATAYTTATAAATTATACAATTTACAAATATATTATATTTGTAAATAAACTTAATTTCTTTAGTAAATAATATTACTATTAGTAATACATAAAAAAATATTAATGTACAGTACAACCTATAATTAAGTAATAGCAATGAAACATTATTAATCATTATATGATTCGTTGTCTAATTTAACTAAAACTAATACAAATAAATTTAATGTTTAAATGTAATGAATTTTCACTTATTTATTTAACAGTAGAATTTAACTAATTTATACAGTAAATTATAAATCCTATTTTTTCAGTTAATCTTTTTATAATCTGTTCAATAAATTAAAAGCTAAAATTAACTTTTCTAAAAATCATATCTTTTAATTTGTTTTATTAAATAAATAACTTTTAAAACTAATTATTTATTTCACATAAAGTTTAGATTTATAATTAAAAATTACGCAATTATTTATTAAAAGTAATTAAAAGTTTTTAAAAATGTTTTCATTGATAATAGGCTGGAATTGGTCTAAAGTTTTACCGTATTTTAAGAGATCGGAAAACAATACAAATCATTTATTGAACCGAAAATATCACGGTTATAATGGACCGATACATGTGGTCAGTATTGATAAGCCGCGACCTATCAATAAGTTAACTATGAGTGCGGCACAAGAGCTGGGCTACAATGTCATAGATTTGAATGATCCAAACACTGAGGAAGGGGTGGCCATACAGCAGATGACTATGAAGTTTGTGTTTTATTAATCATATTCTTGTACATAAAATTTTAATAAAAATATTTATTTATTTTTTTAATTTTAAGAGACGGTTCTCGTTTTTCATCTGCCAAAGCATATCTATGGCCTGCAAAAGATCGGCCAAACCTACATATAATGGCCAAAAGTTTGGTTACGAAAATTAATTTTGATAACAATCGACGGGCTATTTCGGTGAACATATTTAGAAATAAAGATAAACACATGAAGTATATTAGGGCCAGAAATGAAATCATTGTATGCGCCGGTGCTATCCATACACCAAAACTACTGATGCTTTCGGGTATTGGTCCCAAAGATCATCTCATTGATCATCAAATACCTGTAGTGTCCGATTTGCCAGTCGGTGATAACTTTCACGACACTCCCGGCACAGTTGGCGTACATTTTACAGTTAATCAAAGTCTACAATCACCTGATCTGTCAGAAAGTGATGTTTCAAATTATTTTCTCGAAGGAAAAGGAAGATTAACACATTATGAAAAAACATCCATCAGATTGAAAACAAGTGCAGCAATAGATAACAGACCAGATATACAGATATTTGGCGAAACTGGCAGTTGGGCCGACTTTCCCGATGCCGACAGCGCTGCAAAAGCACTGAATATAAAACCCAAAATCTGGAATCAATATTATCGCCCATATAGTGGACAGTCGACCATAACATTTACACTTTTACTTAATCGGCCACTCAGTCGCGGAACAATTCGACTTAAAAGTGATAATTTTAATGACAACCCTATTGTGAATCCTAATTATTATGACAATAAACACGACATTCAATCAATGGTTGAGGGCATAAAAATTGCCTGGAGTTTAGGTCATACCAAAGTGTTTAGAGATTTATTAGATGTCAAACCCTTTATCAGTCCATTACCGGGATGTCCGGCTATAACAGATAAGGTTAATAAATTTAATGGCAAACATTTAATACCTGATAAGTATTTAGAATGTATGGCTAAAACACTGACCATATCGTTCACACATTTGGCCGGCACTTGTCGTATGGGTGCCGACTTGACTTCGGATATGCCAGAATGTCTAGCACCTAGGTGTTACTTTTTATAAATATAATAACACTTACACACAAAATTTTATTATCAAAGTTATCACTTTTTTAACTAACTTATGCAGACATTTTTGAATAAAATATGAATTTTAAAAATGTCTAAAAGTTCAATTTAAACTAAAATTTTTAAAAATATTTTTTTCTATCAATTTTTATTATAGATTAATAGATTTATATTATTTCATTTTCATTAAAAAAGTTATTATGTGCTATAATATACAGATTAATAATTAATTCTAGTTATACTCAAAAACATTGTTATAATTATTATTATAATTTTTAAAATTTTAGTTTAAATTGAAGTTTTAGACATTTTTTAAATTCGTGTTTTGTACAAAAATGTCTGCATAAGTTAGTTAAAAAAGTGATAACTTTGATAATAAAATTTTGTGTGTAAGTGTTATTATATTTATAAAAAGTAACACCTAGGTGCTAGACATTCTGGCATATCCGAAGTCAAGTGCCGACACTGATCCGACAGCTGTTGTCACTAATCGACTAAAAGTCCGTAATGTTTCCGGTCTTCGTATTGTTGACTCATCTGTCGCACCACAAGTACCTTCCGGTGCTTTCTATTCACCCGTACTTATGATAGCCGATAGAGGCTCTGATATAATCATTGAAGACTATAATAATTTAAAGTCATTATCCAAATAAGTCAAACAGTTATCTAAAAAATATTTTGTCAATTATTTTATTATTAAATTTTTTAAAATTAAAATATCATTATTTTAAAAATTAAATTTATAAGATAATAAAAAAAAATTTAATATAATATAATATTTTGTTACAATGATACTGTATATTATACAGTGTATACACAAAAAATAAATCTACGTTGATAAGTTTATATAATTATTGCTTTTTAATGTAGGATTTTTAGATGTCAGCAATAAGTATCCGTTAAAATATTCAATCTTTTTTTATAGTAAATATAAAAAATAAATTTTTCATTTTAATTAAATTTTATGTAAAAAGAGTAAGATTTTAATTTAGATATTAATGTCTAGTGTGTATGTTTTAATAGAAAATTTAAGTCTATTAATTGCAATATATATATATATATATATATATATATATATATAAATACTGTACAACAAAACTACAAAAAAACTATTATTTTTATAAACATTTTTTAATATTATATTTTATTTATTATTATTTTAACATTTTCATAATTTTGCTTTCGTTTCCATCATTAGGTGAGGGAACAATACCAAGTATATGACAAAACAGATTGTAGTGATCGACCATATCTAACGGTTCCGACACAAAGTTGGCCTTCAATGCCGGTCCAAATGCATACATTATAGCACGGATATCGGTAACGTGTCTATCATAACCATGTCGACCACCAGTCGGTGGATAGGGCGATATACCTGACTCTCCACCTGGGTACACTTTACCAGGTGAACTTGGCTATAGACACAAAAAATAAATTAATCAAACATTTAGATCAGTTTTTTTTATTACTTTACACCAATACTTACAACTGCCATATCGTATCCCAGATCTACGGTTACCAACAATGGGAACACATTTTTATTATGTTTAAAGTGAAACTCATCGGGAATGTCATCTCGTTTGTAGACTTTAATACCTTCAAGTTTGTTGAGTGCATTAAAAATCTATTATTTATAATATAATTTTATAAAAATTATTTTGCAAAAAATAATATTATTATTATTTCTATACCTTATCCTCTTTGCCGGGTTTGGGATTTAACTGAGCACCAGAACCACCGCCTAAAAGCATCTCAACATCATTATTAAAGTCAACGAATTGACTTATATGTATTTTTTTAAATCCATCGACCTGTACCATCCCGTGGTCCGATACTATCACCACATTTAGCTCATTGTCTAACTTTCTAACCTTTATCTCATCGTACAACTCCTGTAGTATTTGGTCGATACCAATCACAGCATTTGTAACATTAATAGTTTCGGGTCCCCATGAATGGCCTAAAATGTATATTAAATTAAATATTTAAACATATATTAATGTTTCATATATATAGCACATACCTATATGATCAACATATTCGTGGTATAAGAGCGCCAGTCTGTGCTTATTATTGGAAAAGTTATCCAAAATAGTCTTAATATGAGCTCGTGTTTCATTGTTAGCCACTTCCATGTTATCACTGACCGAATGATACTTAAGACAATAGTTAGGTGTTATACCGTCAATAGGAACCTGACATCCGTCCCATAAATACATAGCAGTCGACACATTATTTTTTTCAGCCGTTGTCCATATGGGCAACGATTGGTTCCACCAGTGAATGTGCGATGAATTAGCATTAGTACCCATTAGGAAAAAGTCTTTTTCAGCCGAGTCATAGACATAGTTATCAAGGAAACCATGGTGCTCGGCATACCGTCCAGTCACTATTGAGGCCCAGTTAGGGTATGAATTGGCCGGGTATATGGGCGTTACATACGGGGCTTTAACACCGTTGCGGGCAATTGTCGAGAAGCCCTTAGATGCTCGGGTGGCGTAATCCCATCGAAAGCCATCGACTAATATAATCAATAATTTTTGTGGATTTTTATTACTATCATTATTGCTAGTATTTTCATGATTTAAATGTAATGATAATGCAGTGTATGTTGAAAACACACACAAACATAGTAGTGATAGTTTTAATGACATTTTTATAAAGTTTTCTAACAATTATGATTTATTATTATTTTTTATAAATATATCAAACTAACCTATTTATATATTTTGACAGTTTGCTAGTTCAACAAGGGTAGATTAGTGTAAATGATATTTTTTTGATAATACAGTATTATTAATATTTTTATTTATGATTAAATTTTATTTTATTTTTCTTATTATTGATAAAATTTTAAACTTTGATTGGTTTCCCATATAAAAATTATATTGCAAATAATTGAAAAAATAATTGAAGTTAAATTCCACTTATATAATAACAATAATAGTTACCTATATATATATATACATTAAATATATCAAACTATTTAATAGATAAACTATAATTTCATATTAATAAGTTCAAGTACAATTAGATTACAATAAGATTTGATAATAATATATCAATAATATTTGAAAATATTCATGATTTTAATTATTTTTTTATTTGACTTATGTTGTAATTATAATAATCAAGTATCTGAAGTGCATAAAAATAATCACAAAAAGTAAAAAATTATTTGACAATTATTTTGTTTATATGTAAATTTACAAAATAAACATCTTATTAAACATAACTATTCACATATTATTAATATTATAACTTTTATAATTAGTCAATCAATAAATGGGTAATCAAATCAATTAAATATTATAATAAAAGTTAATTAATTATTATTGTTTTATATCTATTTACAATATATTTAAGTGCATTTACTAACAAACAATATTATACATGCTTAGTAACAAATCTAATAATATATTAATTAATAGTAATTATTAATTGCTTTATTGATAATTATTACACAAAATAAAATACAGGTATATTTTATTTGTCAATTATTATTTATTTTACGTCAAACACACTTATACAGTATATCATTATAGATTCAATATGGATATAGATAAAATTTACAGAAATCATCTAGATCAATTAAAACTAATTAAAAATATATTAATTTAAGATATTAAAACAAACTACAAGATAACTACAATACTGTATAATATAAAAATGTGAATACTTTACACAAAATAGCTATTGTTTTAAAAATTGCATAAACATTACAGTAAATGTAACGACTGAACCAATAAATGTGAATAAAAATTGAAAATCAATAACAAATATATTCCAAGCCTTGTATTTGGTATTAACCACTAATTTTAATTGTCTGTATAGACAACGGCGCTCACAATCGCTTTCATAGAGTAAATGATGTTTGCCTTGTTGTTTGATTTGCTGGCTATAAGGACAGGTAGTATTAGTGGTCATTATTGTATAGTATAGCTCGTTAACTGTTGGCCGTCGAGATTGAAAATAATAGACAAATAATAGATACATTAATACAGTGATCCATAAGATGGTGTACTCCAAGAAGTAGCTGATCAGTGATTGAATGTCAAAAATCCATTGCTTAGCTTTGGTAAAGTATGTAAGCCGTAGACATGTACCGCAAAATAATTGTATAAACCAGAGGAAAGGTAGTAAACCCATATCATTGTTAACCGATTCAATTGACTGTTGGATAGTTAGCAGTCGATATCGGAGATCAGCGTAATTAGTAGTAGTAATAGTAGCAGTAGTACTACGATTGTTATTGTAATGTTTGTTTAGTCGGACAAACCGATAGACTTTGGTCTCCAGTAAATGTATACCATAGCAGGTATGGGTCAGCAATAGATTTGAAGTCATGTATATAATAAAACAGTTGGTTGACCATAAAATTTCGCCATAGATATTGTCAAACGGTGTAATCAATAATATTTTAACCCAGCTATATAAGCAACAATGTATGATCAATATAATTATCCAAACTGTGCTCATCAAATAGCCCAGTGATTGAAATTTAGATTGATCATTTTTATTCAAATTGTTATATATTTTTTCAATTAATAGATTAATACTTTTTAATTTAACAATTAAATAGAAATAATTTATAAGTAAACTCCAAGTTTTCAGATGCAATACTAAACAATAGAGACTATTAGTTAAACCATTGTTTAAAACATTTTGGATAAAACAATAAAATGTTGATGATAAAAATATTGTAATTACACTAATTGTTTTTATTTTAAATATGTAGTTAATAATTTTTAAATAAATATTTTTATTATTTTTACTATAACTTAAGCCAATATTTAATAATAGATATTTCATTAGAAATAAATATGTATCAATTATTTTGTTCATAATTATTATAATAATAATGTATATAATATTCTAATGAACTAATATTTATCATACAATTAATATTGTAACTAAAGATCATATGCTATGAAAAATTATTAAATATATTATATTATTAATTAATAATATATGCTATTAATGTTAATATTTAAACAGTTAATTAATATTTATTTGTGAACATTATGTAAATAAACAAAAAATTATAATAACTTTAATATACATTGTGTTTGGACACGAATTTTATAGATAAATATATTACTTTTTCATAATAATATTGAAATATTGTGTATTTAAAGAATTAATTTAATCAATAATTTTGAAGTTTAATCATTCAAATCAATAATAGTTATAATATTTAATGGTTTGTCTAATAATTATATTAAAAATCTACTAAAAAACTTTAAATTATCAATAACTGGTGTAAATTTTTTATAAAAATCTTTAATTAGTTTATTATTTTTTTGCAATATTGTATCAAATGATCGTAATTTCTTTGACTGATTTGACGACAAAAGTTTAGTTAATTTTATTATATTTAGTCATTTCATACCATACATGACTAAAGTTGAGTTTATTTTTGTAATAATGATTCATATAATTTCATGACTTAATTTTTATCAATTATAATAATAATATATTTTTATATAAAAACAATATTCAGAACTTATTAATTTAGTAAATATTATTTATTATATTAACTGTAATTTATTTTCAATGTTATTATAAACTTTTTATTTGAATCTACCTAAATCACACATCAGAAGCATTTGAATGTTGATAATAACAATATTGTTAGGCAACTATTATCGCTTTAGATAGTGAGACCAAATAAATAAATAAATTTAATATTCATAAATTATATTAATATTCATTTTTTAAATTTATAATTGATAATAAAAATTATATGAGTATTTAAATTTTTTTATGTAATTTTTATTTAATAATATAATTTAATATAAAGTTATTGGTTTTTTCGGCTTATCAGCTATTATTCAATATATTGTTTTATTTGTTTTCAACTTTAACTCATTCATTCAAAATTATTCAATTGTAACTGATGTATGACCTAAATTATAGTTTATTGTATAGTTTTGAAATAGTTTTTTTTTAATATTATTGTTTATTGTTTTGTATTATATTGTACRGTATATTTATAAATATATAATGTTAATTTATATATTTATTTACTTATTGTTTATTTATTTTTGTTTCATTAAAAGTTTTTACTTAGGGGTGGTTCACATATTACGTTTGCACTTGAGGGGATGGGGGTTGGCCAAAGCGAACTTTTGCGAACGAGGGGATGGGAGGGGTAGAGACATTTAGATATTTTATTTCTTGTTGTGGGGGGGGGGGGTTAGCGGTTAGGGACATGCGAACGTAATTTTTTTAAATGATTACATAAGAACAATTGCAAACATAGGGGAGGGATGGGATCTAGATTTCTTAAAAAGTGCGAACCTAATATGTGAATCGCCCCTTAGTTAAAAATAATCTAATATAATTTTTATTCTATATTTATTCTGTATTTATTCTGTATATTTAATACTCTTTTATTTACTAAATATTTTATTTATTTATTGGCTATATTTACATTTTATCAAAAATTGTATAATAATAATAATAATATACGTAATTTGCAAAATTAATTTTTAGTTTAAACATTAGAAATAATAATTTTATTAATTCAATAAAAATATAATTAATTAGTAGACAAAAAATGCATACAAATAATTTATTTTATGAAATATTATTCTATTATACATATACAGTATCTATCAATTCTATAATAATTGTATAAACTAAACAAGTACATATTTAATGTATTAATGTAAAAAACATATATAAAATTACATAAACTATTAAATTATGTTAAAATTTGAGTTAAGTTTTAGTTATATACTAAATCAAGTGTTATTTATTGATATCTTATTGTTGTATAGTATTTATGTCTTATCCAATGCCAAGAGTTGAATAGACATAATAGTGAAAGTGAGGACTGAACTCAAAAAACTAAATAAAAACTTAATACTAATTGTAAAGACATTGAAAGCCTTATACTCTGTTTGGAGAAGCGGTCGAAAGATTTCTGAATTCACTTTACGATTAGTGAAACAAAAGTTAGTCTTCATGTCCTTCATCTGGAAATACAGTTCATTGACTGTCGGTCTTTGACTCTGGAAGTAGTGTACGGCCAATACGTATCCGAAGTCAAACAAACAGATGAGCGCCCACTCCATGAAGTAAAACACTACGAGATTGATGTCAGCGGCCAGTCGTTTATCGTTTGTTATATACGTGAGCCTAAAACATGTGGATATAAACAACTCGACAAACCAAACAAATGGCATAAAACCGGCCGATTGGTTGACCCTTTCCTTCAGGTTCTGGATATTCATAATACGTTTTTCCAGTTCCTCATAGTTTGCCAATTCTTCAATGCCTTCTTCGGGATTTCGACAACTATGAAACAGTCGGCTCTCCAATAGGTATATACCATAGCATATGTGTATCAAAAACAGTTGTGTCAACAATAGAAAGCCAAAGACATTAAAAGACCAAACAATTTCACTCAAAGTGACTAACATTGTATTCAAGCGAATACTGTTAATATAGTAGTAGACACTGGCATTGATAGTAACAATAATAAACCATATGATTACCGATACAATGGCCAACACCCGGAGCCGATCAATTTCAACGGGTTTCAAATTATCGGTAAGTTTGGTCATAATTTTCAATATACCTGCGACTCGCAGTTGAAAACATATGTAGGCTATCAGTAATATCCAGATTTTGATTTGAAATGATAGCGGAAATAAACTCTGTTTGAGTGGACTTCTCTGCTG